GAAAAGTTCAAGGATTGTAAAAGGATCAGTGCTTCTTGCTTATGAGCCATCGGAAGCGTTGTAAGGGTTGGATTGCACTATAAGTCAATCAATATAATGAAAAATGCCTTATTCGTGACGGAGAGCTTGGTAATAGAGAACGTAGATCGGTTGAGTTGGATCAAACCTCTTATTAAATCGTTTGCAATCTCTATCCCTTTTACTTATTAGCTTTACATTATCTTCATTTTTCAATTTCATATTTGTGCAATAGATATATCTAGAATTAATTTTCGAAAAAGTTTTAATAACTTCACCCCCCCCCCCCCCCCCCGGTTAGTCATTCTTGGGCTTTCATTTTTAAGGTTAAGGAGGGTGCTAATAAATCTGAACCCTTAAGATTTAAAACTATTTTAGTGGCCAAGGAATATACGCAGAAGGAGGGTGTTGATTTTAACGAGATTCTTTCACCGATCATCAATGCCACACATATTAGATTTAGCAGTAATGCATCAAATTGCACTCTCTACGTTAATCACAATTAGCACTTTATTTAATATACTAAATGTGTGTACATGTCTCTACTGCATTAACATATGACCATAACTACTTGATTTTTTATTTTTATTTTTATAACGAAGTGACATAAACAATTGAGTTAAAAAGAATATTCCTACCACATATGGATTTATATATAAATTTTTTATTTTTATTTATTATTATATATATATTTTTAAAAAATTTATATAGGAACTACATCGTAATTTCAACTATGAGAAAAATAATGTACTAGTGCATGGACTATTATGAAATTTCACAAATTAAAAAAGCTAGTAACTAAATAATTTAATGATCATTGTGGTTAAACATAAAACATTCTATTCTAAGGAAATATATAAATATATATATATATACGCGCGCACACACACACATATAAACCATTTAAATAAACCTTTTTTTTTCTTTTAAATTTTTTTCCCTTCATTGTTCACCATGAATAGTAATACTATTCACGACAATTTTTTTAACTTTAAAATCCAAGTGAGTCTGTAGAAAATTTAAACATGATCTCTAATACCAAATTGTAACGACTTAAATTTTAAGATTTAAATTGTTACTAAGATTTAAATCGTTACTAAAAGTTCATTCCATAATTTAAATAAACATATCAACATCCCAATATTAAATTTTTTGTTCTACCAATGATAAATAAAACCTATAAGAAACATAACCAAATAAACATCTTCTTAACTCCAAATAACAATTTCCATAATAATTATGAAACTAAAATAAATGTTGAAATAAAATCCACAGTCAAATTTCACCGGATTATTATTACTGAGTTCTATAAATCTTGGCACCACGACTGCACCTCATCGCTCGCCAACCGACGTCTCATTCTAACCTGTGACGAGTAGAGGAAAATAGTGAGTATATGGGAATACTCAATAGGACACAAAAAATATGGTGCAATTCCGAATAAAATAGTTAAATCACGCATAAAAATATCATACCGCAATCATATTTTTAGGGACCGATAAGAGCTCAATACATATCATATCTTTAGTACCAGATGATCATATCATATATATGATATCATATCTTTAACTTTCATAAGTATAATAAATCAACAGCAAAAAAAAAGAATAATTCAAATGGGATATAAACATCTGCACCTTGTTATCCTGCCTTATTAGATTACTTAATTTTTGGAAGACGAAACTAAAAAAAAATCATATTCACTTAATTCTTTCCGCCTCTGCCATATTTTTGCATATGCATACTGTGTAGAGAAATTATTGCCTTCCATGAGTTATATTATATACTAATACTCTATGAAAAGTGGGGATAAGAGTATGGGACTTCGTGTAGAAAAATGCAATGTTTCAAGCAACACGTCTCTATAATCTAAAATGAAATATCCCAAATAAAAACTTTATAGGACACATGGCTTGCTAGGAAATTTTACACCAAAATATTTAATAAAATAAAAATTAATTGATAATCTTTTTAACAAGGATAAAGATACTTGAACATAGACCTTATCCAAACATTAGGCACCCCCGACAGACATGGTCCTGTCCATCTAGCATGACCCTTTCAACAATCCTACCCAACCTACATATGGCAACCAAATTCTATCAAATTTCAAGAGCAAAACTAATAAATCAAAACCACATTTTTCCATTTTATCCACGCGTGGACACACTCCTAATTGAATACAATATTTTATTCAAATCAAAACCAAACAATAACAATTTCTATAAACTGTAATATCTTGGGTCTCACTTATTCGATTTACTTTTCTCGAGTCTAATATACATGATTAAATACGAGCTATCTAACGAACCTAATATGATATACTTATTTTTGCTCTATCGAAATATAAATATTCGACCCAAATAAAAGTGAATTAACAGATATATCAATTTAGTCCCTATCTTTCCAAAATATTAAAAATATCGCATATAAAATAATTAATTCTGTTCTATGAAAAAATTTTGGACTTTACATCTATGCAAAAATCATGTCTTTCATGAATGCGCCAAACACATTGATATTAGACTACGCTTTATTTGAGATATTGTGTCATAAGAAGTAGTAAGACTTGAAAAGATACATACACTGCATAATCTTTTCGACGTAGGCACTAAATTAATGTTGTTGGTGAAGTTTAGAAGTTGCAAGAACCTTTTAAACATTGGTGGAGTTAACTAATTTTCAATTTTATCGGTTCCCTCTATTAGACGTATTACTAACAAATGATAATGTTTTCTTTACAAGTCTTGTGATACCGAGATAGAGATTTGTTGGGCAAATTGTCAAACGATCTCCTGCCTCCTGGGTTGTAATGTAACTCGGTATATTTTTTCAGTCAATATCGATCAAATGACTAATCGTTAGATCAACATCTCAGTGAAATGACCCGACCCAAAAAATTGTTTGGACCATTTGAAGCAGCCTAATTTAAAGTAGTACTGTTTATGGGCCATTTCTCCTGCCTCTCTTTTTGGTGTGAAAACGGGCGGTTTCTCTTTGTGTTCTTTGCCTATTGCTATCCATTCACTCTACTGCCTTTGTAGCAATTTTCTCTTTGTGATTTTACCTTCCTTTGTGGTTTTTCAAGTGGGTGAACTTTTAGCAACCACAAGTGAAGGAGTGGTTAAAGAAAGTTTGGATTGTTTTCATATTGGTGTCAATCTTTGGATGAACTAAGTCCGGAAAATGCCTTAGTAATCTTGTATTCCGCACAACATCTATTCATTTATGCACCTTTGTTTTCACATTTGAACTGGTTCTACAATGCCGGTGATATGGTTTCTACTGTTCTTGGTGGCCACAATTGTTGACGGACTTTTTTCTATTGAAGAAACGTTTGTCCTTTGTCTAGACAAAAAATCAATTGCATTATTCATTAGTAAATGTTTTATAAACGTAGCCATAGACCTCTCCCTTTCCCTCAAACGAATTTGCAGCAGCCGATTTAACAACCTTGTCTCTGTTAGCAGAAAGCTCAACTCCAAGGTCAGCTTCTGTAGCACTAGGCTACAGCAGATCTGATTCTGCCCGAGAAAGCATCAACCAGTGCAAAATCTCTAGAAGTTAATTTTTTTCATACTTCCTGCACATAGAGATTAGTAAATATTTGATTTTGAACTTATTATTTGAGAATAATTATCAATTTATGGTGGTGGTTTTTTAATTTTTTGGGTCGATATGCATAAATTAGGGCAATTGAGACGAAAATTGCCCATTGGTGATCAACAGTTGCTTACCTATTGGGTTCTGTACTCTCTGATTACACTTTTTAAGCTTTCATTTGATATGCTCATTGAGTGGTAAGTTATTGCTGTTTTTTCCCTTCATTTACGTATTTTCGTTATATTTACGCTAGGATTGTTGTTGATGTAAAATTAAATCCATTCAGTTACTACTGGTCACGTGTTAGACTTAACCTAATCATATGATAGGTCATTAGGATTTGAACCTGAGGCCTATTTTCTATTTTTATTTTTATTTTTCCCGATAAAAAAAGGTTTTAGACAAGAGTCTTGTTACATAAAGACCCAATATCGACACCAAGATTACAAAACCCAAACTACACACAAAGGCGTCAAATTCTCATCGATTGGGCTAAGATTAACCTTGTACCCGTCTGTACGAAGTGTATAAACTCACAAAACAGAGTCCTAAAGTAAAAATACAGAGGCAGTCACTACAGTGGTTCCAAAATCTCCAAACTTAACAAAAAAAACCCTTTACAGTTGAAATCGAAGAATCACCAAAACTCCTCACTCACAAATCTACCAGAAAACTAGGAATTTAATGGCTAAAGAACAAGTTTCATGAAGAAAATGAAAGGTAGAGACACACAGTCTCTCTCTCAAAGAGACCCAGAAGCTTCTCAAAGAAACACACCAAGAGACGAGAAAATGAAAGACCAAAAGTTTGGGCAAAAGTCTCACACCAAGAATATATAGGTAAGGTCATCACTGTAAATATTAGGTTTAGGAGATTTAAGGGGCCGGAGCGACATGTGTGTATTACAAGTTTGGGCCGGGTCATAAGTAGTCCAACACAATACGTTATTGGGCAAGGATTCAAGCAGTATCTGTAATTTTTAACCATTTATCATCATAGCCCAAAGTGTGCCGGACCACCAAAAATATGGCATCACAGCCCAATAATTTGAAAGGACATTCCAATGATTTCGTAGTAATAGAAACTAAGATAATTCTTCAGCAAAAATTATAGCCCACTTGCATTTAGTAATATATTGACATATCAAAATAATAATAATAGAAGAAAGCATTTGACGCTTTTGTTTCTCAATGCACAGGGTCTTGCTCTCTGGATTTTGATTTTTGGCTTATTTTCTTTGCAACAGAAGAAATATAGCGGCAGCAGTGGCTACAGAGACAACAAACTCATAGCAAAGGACTGCACAGATTGAACTTGAGAGATGATAATCATTTTTTTTTAGAAATGAATTGATAATGAAGGAAATTAGCTGAATGATGGAGGCAGAAATAAAGCAAAGAATTGTATTGATTTTTCTGCTTGTTGAGACTGTACAGAAAAGCAAAGTATATATACACACAATAGGCTATTCTAAAAGAAATAATTTACATACACGTTCTCACAACAGAAAGGTAACTAATTTACAAAATTCCTTTTCCTTCTTCTAGAGAATTCTCATTCTGTTATTCCAAGTTGGCTGTCAATTGTGTGAGCATCTTTCAATTGTTGCTTGTATTGCTGATTCTTTAACCAGCTCCTTCATGTCTTTCCAATTCAGCTGCTTTGTCAACTTCCAATAGCCCACTGCAAGATGGAGAGTATATGTCTATTAGTCCCATCTTGAGCATGCATGAGTAAAAACCTTGCGAGCCTAAGGCTTTGGCTTTGGTAAAAAAATGTCTACAATCTGTGACTTGCTAGGAACATGCTTAGTAACAATGTATCCATCTTGAATTTTGTCGCGAATCAAATGACAATCGAGCTCTATGTGTTTGGTCCTCTCATGAAAAATTGGGTTGGTGGCTATATGAACGGCTGATTTATTGTCACAGTACAAATATGCAGCTTGAGGATGAGCTATCTTCAAGTCTTCAAAATAAGTATCTGAACCATGTTAGTTCGCAACACAAATCAGCCATAGCTCTATATTTAGGTTTCGAAGATGATCTTGAGACCACTTGTTACTTCTTTAATTTCCAAGACACCATTGATTTTCCAATTAACACGCAGTAACCTGTTATTGATTGTCGAGTAATAGTACAAGCTCCCCAATCTGAATCACTATATCCGTGTAATTATAATGCTGAATCTGCTGGATAGAATATCCCCTACCCTGGAGCCCGTTTGATATATCTTAGGACTTTGTGCTGCATTCAAATGTGGGATTCGGGGGCTTTCCATAAATTGACTTAACAATTGCACTGAGTAAGAAATATCAGGCCTAGTTATTGTTAGGTACAACAATCTGCCAACCAATCTTCTGTAAATTGCTGGTTCAGGGAGCAATTCCCCTTTATCTTTGGCTAATTTTACATTTTGATGTAATGGTATTCTGGCAGGAGCTGAACCAATTGTCCCCGAGTCATCCAAGATATCCAAAGCATACTTCCTTTGACATATACTGATACCTTTTGCAGACCTGGCCACCTCTATGCCAAGGAGTTATTCAACCTACCAAGATCCTTAATCCTAAACTTGTCATGAAGTGAAGTTTTAAGGTGGTTAATCACGTCGATGCAATTTCCAGCCACAACTATGTCATCAACATACACTAAGACAGCAGTAAAAGAGGCACCATCACCTTTAGTAAATAGGCTATAATTTACCTTCGATTGAACATATCCTTGTTCAATGAAAATTTTTGAAAGTTTGGCGTACCATTGATCAGGGATGAATCCAACATCTAAGTTCAGTTAGGGTGGAGCTTGACCATTAACCGTCGACAATCAACAATTGTAATAATATTGTTGTCATTAAAATTTGATTAAATAATATTAAAAATTATTCAAATATATGTAAATGTATGAGTTGTATACTAGTTTAGTAACTCGATTAGATTTCCTCTATTAAGAGACTCGTTCAATTTATCGTGACCACAAAATGGCAATCCTTGAAAAACCAATTAGAATTGATTAAAAATTATAATTCTCAGACTCTCAGTAATAAGTCCTAATTTCCCTTATCCAGTAAACATCATTGCATCAAACAACACTCAAGAGTCTCAACTCAACTCTCAACAGACAACAATTCAACAATTCAAGCTCTTAAACACATTTGGATATGATTATGTTCTTGGGAGAGCAAGATGCCATACTGCAAATTTGAACACCAAAACAGAGCAAAGGAATATATTAAAGAAAGAATTTAACTCAAGCAACCACAAAATATCCAAATCCTTGAACCCCAAATTTTTTCAGTAATTAAATTGTAAATAAAACTTAAACCAACTAGTCCAACAAAAACAAAATCCCTAAATCAACAAAAATCTCCAAAACAAAAGGAGATTCTGATTTCACACTCCACATAAAACAGACAACAAAAACATGGAAATGGATGGGTTTGCAGTTGCACGAATCAAAAAATCAACGATACAACAGATAACAAAAACAATTTAACTCACCACTAAACTGCAGGTTGCTTGCTCGGGCCTCGGAGACTCGGAGTCACACTTTCTGATTTCGCACTTCGCACACGGTGACATGGTCCATGAATTCACACTTTGCAAATCACAGGCGCAACTGCTACTACTGCTTCAAATGGAAATGGAAGGGTTTGAGCTTTGCAATGTGTGTCTTTGCCGATTTCAAAATATGACTTCAATTGGATTATTGGATTTGGAGTTTGGACAATTTCCATATGTTGTTGATTTGGGTTAGACACTTGGATTGATTCATTGATTTCTTCATTGGGCCTAATCTTTTAAACAAAATAAGGCCTATTCTGTCATCAGCCCAAAGAAAAAGTAAAATAAAATTTGGAACTCGTCTTCTCCCCTTCCAGTTCCGTCTCTGGTTCTTTGCAACTGCTGTGCCTGCCAACACCTGCTCCTAGCAGCAACTGAACATTTCGACGGATCCAGCACGCATGGCCGCAGGTGCCCGTCAGGTGCTGGATCCGCCACTGGCATTGACGTGATGCTTGTTTCAAACCATGCAAACTTTTTTTGAGTTTACAAACTTTATTCTTCTTGTCATCCTGCGAATAACCAGGGGGGATCTCCATATACACCCCCTCTTCCAATTCACCATGCAGGAAGGCATTTTCGACATCAAACTGAAAAATGTCCCCTCCCTTTATGGCTGCTATTGCTAGTAGAGTTCTGACCGTGACAAGTTTGGCAACAGGTGAAAAGGTCTCATGGTAATCGAGTCCTTCTTGTTGTGTACATCCTTTAGCAACGAGTCTTGCTTTGAACCTTTCTATACTACCATCAACATGAAATTTGATCTTGTACACCCATCTGCAGCCTATTGCTTCCTTGCTAGGAGGTAGGTCAACCAAAACCCAAGTGTCATTAAGTTCAAGAGCTTCAATTTCAGATTTCATGGCTGCACACCACTGAGGAGAATTTTTGGCTTCTTGGTAGTTCCTAGGTTCTGTATGAGAAGTGACAAAGGTAACAAAGACTTTGTACAAATCTGACAACCTTTTATAAGAAATACTAGCATTGAGAGGATAGTGGCAATTGGAAAAATCCCGTACCTTTAGCTTGGCCAACGTTTGAGATGGGTGAAGTGAAGTAACCTGGTGGCATATGAAGTCCTGAAGATGTGCTGGAGCTTTTCTGATTCTGGTTAACCTGCAGGGCAAATAAGTAGTAGAAGTTGTGCCTGGTGAGGGGTTAGAAGCATTAGTGTCAGTGCAAGATGAGGCTCATCATGATCAGAACTTTGTGGAAGTTCTTCCTTAGGTTGAATGATTTGAGAGCTTATTTCTGGCATTATATTATCATGATAGGTGCTAGGAATGGTATCGGTTGTTTCATTGTGAGTTATGGGGTCTTGAATGGAACTGATGTTGTTATAATTTAATCTAACAGAATCATCCTTAAAGGGAAAAATGTTTTCATAAAAGACTACATTCCTAGATGTGAAGGTTTTCTCAGTCTCAAGATCTAACAAGGTATATCCTTTGACTCCAAAATGGTAGCCTATGAACACACATTTTTGGCTCTAGGATCGAATTTATGTCTTCCATTGACAATGGTAGTAGCATAAGCTAGAAAACTAAAAACTTTAAGGTGATTATAAGATGGCTTTTTGTGGAATAAAATCTGGTAAGGACTTTTATCTTTCAATGTGGATGAAGGAGTTCTATTGATGAGATACACCGTAGTTAGGATGCAATGGTTCTAATACTTTAATGGAATTCCACTTTGAAACTTCAAGACCCTGGCCGTATTAAGAATGTGTTGATGTTTCCTTTCAACAACAGCATTTTGTTGGGGTGTCTCAACATAGGTTTTTTGATGTACAATGCCTTTTTAAAGATAAAATTCTCTCATATTGAATTCTCCACCATTATCCGTTCTAATTATTTTAACCTTGGTTTCAAACTGTGTTTTAGCCATAGCACAAAAGGTTTGAAGGGCATTAGAAGCATCTGATTTCAGTCTCAAGGTATAGGTCCAAGTACATCTACTAAAGTCATCCACAATGGTTCAGAAATACTTGGAACCATCGGAACCAATTTCATTGCAGGGACCTCTGATGTCACAATGTAATAATTCAAAACATATGTCAATTTTGTGATTGCTTGTGTGAAAAGGTCATTTGTGCAATTTAGATCAAGGGCATATAGAACAAAATTCATTATTAGATGATTTGGAGAATTGAACATCACCATCAACACTAATAATAGAATAAGAAGTGTGTCCTAATTTGTAATGCCAAACATCAAAGTCTTGAATATTTGAGATAGCTAAAGCAGAAAAAGGAATTTGGGTATGAGTATGCAATTTGTTTAGGTAATCTCATAGTGCTAAAGAGGGAACATCTTTGACCATCATGTGATACAGCCCTTCTTTTACTTCACCCATACCAATCGTCTTCCAAACTGAAGGTCCTGGATGTAGCAGCAATGAGAAAAGAAAACTAGACAACATTTGAGCATCTGTGTTAGCTTTTTGGTAGAGATTGAATGAAAAACTAGGTACACATAGAACATCTTGAAGCATTAAAGCATCTGTGTCCTTTGCAGTCCCTATGTGGGTAACAGGGACCACGTTGCCATTTGTTAGAGCTATGGAATATGCAACCTCAGCATGAATTGATGAGTAAAATGAAGTGGAGCAGATCATATGATCCGTTGCTCCCGTGTCAAGTATCCAAGGAACATTTAACATGTTAGGACATATTGGTTTGGTAACAAACGTACATAGGGACATACCAGATAGCTGGCGTATATTTTCATCAGTTGAGGTGGAGGTAATGATAGTTTGAGCATTGTTGATTGAGTGATTTTGGTTTTGAGGCTTAATAGCAGGTTTAAGAAGAGTCACGCGCTGTGAAATTTGGTCTTGACTTAAGAACACCTGGGATTTTCCGTTTCCAACCTCGTGTGCAGGAGATAAAGATGCCACAGCTTGATTTGCTGATGCCTTTTCCTTTCCACTGAATTTGTGGCCAAGAGGATAGCCATGAAGTTTGTAGCATTTGTCTACCTGATGGCCAGGAATCTGATAGTGGATACAAATTGGCCTGTCTGGGTTTGCCTTGAAGCATCTATCAAGTGAGTGTCTTGCAATTTTACAAAATGTGCAGTAGTATCTGTCTCTCTTCTACACATGAGTGCTTTGCCTTTCCTTTTCTTTGAAATTTTCCTTTGCAAGAAGAGCCATAGATTCATGTAAGTATCCCTCAGTTGATATCTCCCTTCTTTTCACTTCCTACTATATTATTGAGTAAACTTCATTCAAACTGGGAAAAGGTTTGATCAACAGAATTTGTGCCTTAATTTCCTTAAATGAATCACTCAAGCCCATCAAAAATTTCATTACCCAGTCCCTTTGTTGATTTTGAATGACTATCTTCAAGCCTCCACAATTACAGTTAGGTACAACTTCATAGCTCATGAGCTCATCAAGAAGTGTTTTGAATTTTGAAAAATAGACACTTACAGGATCTTGGTTTTGCAGTAGCAGGCTTGTTTGATTTCATAGATGTGAGGTACATTTTGCAGAGCAAAAGGTTGCTCCAGCTCAATCTATAGTTGATGCGTCGTTTCAGCATATGTGGTACTACATTTGATGTCAACTGGCATTGTGTTCTTTATCCATGTAATCACTACGTCATTACAACGCAACTAGTGTTCCATGAGTGGGTAGTTTGGGTTTGCTGGTTCACATAAGCTTCCATCAATAAATCCCAATTTATTTTTGATTCGCAACGCTCTTTTCATTGATCGCGCCCAGGAATGATAATTGTTAGTATCCAAGGTGAGGGTTACAAGCAAGGCTCCAGAACTGTCATTGCTTCCAATGAAATATGGGCTATTAGGCTGAGTGGGATCAAGGTTTACAGCATTTGATGGGTTGCCAGATTGATTAGCATTTGGATTTTGGCTTTGGTTTTGGTTTTGGTTTTGGTTTTGGTTTTGGTTTTGATCTGTATTTGCATCTCCAGCACTTGAATCTTCTAAGGCTGGCTCTGATACCATTTTAGAAATGAATTGGTAATGAAGGAAATTAGCTGAATGATGGAGGCAGAAATAAAGCAAAGAATTGTATTGATTTTTCTACTTGCTGAAACTGTACGGAAAAGCAAAGTATATATATACACAATAGGCTATTCTAGAATAAATAATTTACATACACGTTCTCACAACAGAAAGGTAACTAATTTACAAAATTTCTCTTCCTTCTTCTAGAGAATTTTCATTCTGTTATTCCAAGTTGGCTGCCAATTGTGTAAGGATCTTTCAATTGCTGCATGTACTGCTGATTCTTCAACCAGCTCCTTCATGTCTTTCCAATTCAGCTGCTTTGTCAACTGCCTTGTCAACTTCCAATATGTTTTGCAGTAACACCATGTTTTTTTCTTTTTCTTTTTCTTTTTCTTTTTTACCTTCTAACCTGGTTTTCTAGCGTTCTAATTTTTATTTTTTTAAATTTAATTTAATTTTGATGCTTGAGTTTTGGATTGTAATTAGAGAGTTCCTTTTGCTGTTTTTTCTGGGAAATTTTTGGACTGCTTTATGTACATAAAGAAGGGAGTGAGAATCTCTCTGTTTTTTGTTGGTTTCCTCTAACTCAAATGCTGAAATTTAATGCTAGATTTTCTCGTGATTAAGAAGTCCATTCCCATTTTTCATCATCTTGTTTTGCTTATATGAAAGCGATATGAAATCTTTGTTTCTTCTGCTTTTCCGAAAGTCTCTTATTCTTTCCAATCAAATGATTTTAGTGGGCATGAGAGTTGTGCATGTGACTGTCCTGTCATTTGCCCTCGACTTATTCTTAGAATGCTAATGTAATTTGTAGAAGATTAACGTTATTGAGCGATTGACAACATGTAATGAATTCTCTTCTTTGATTTTACTTCAGGCTGTCAAGGGTACGCGTAATATATATCCTAGTAAAGTAATGCTTGTTCCAGTTAAGGAGATGTCTGATGTTCTTTCAGAGATACTTGGTTTAGAACGAAGATTTGCTGATTTAAACCTTTATCCCCAAGTTCCTTCGAAACATTCTTATGGAACCTGATAAGTGTGTTTTTGCACACTCATTTAGGTCACAAACATAACTTAATAACGAGCAAAATGATTGAATTATGACTTAATATCATTAAATTTGTGAATTGTAGGGAACAATGATGAATATGGTGAAATTCATGAGAAAAGACGTGAAAAAGGACTAAAATGACGCAAAGTGAAAGTTTAGGAACCAAAGTGCAATTAATCAAAAGATTACCCGAAAGCAGAAGCGAAGAGATGAATGCGCTAAGTACCAATTGATTGAAGGCACAAGGTTTTGGAAGAAAAAGAAATGGAAAAGGATGAGGCCTAGAAAAATTAGAAAGAAATTGAAGGACCAAAATGCATTACATAAAAGAATTGAGGACTCGGAAGATAAATTATGCATTGGACATTGAACTAGTTAGGCTTTTTTTTTGGACGTCTAATTGGACCAAAACATTATTGGCTAATGGGAACTTGGGCCTAAGTTTGGATCCTATTTGAAGATGACTTGGACTCCTATTGTGTTTACAAGACTACAATACAAGGGCTGCTAGGTTGCATCATATATATATATATATATATACACACACACATGCAACTGAGAGAAGGAGGAAGCCGGGGCATAATAGAATAAAGACCACAGAAAATCGACAGCTTTGGGGGAATTAAAAGGAACAGAAAGCCGGCTGGAATTGGACTCGGTAAATGTAAATAAAAGTGTGCAGCAGTTGAGGAAAATTAGAATCCCTTCTGGGATTATTCAAGTCAGCGACAAATTGAGAGGAAGACAAGACTAAGTTCATAGACACATACATAGAAAACGACAGATTGGTGAAGTCGGAAAATTTGAGTGGTAGAATATATAAAGTTGGCCGGCTGCTGGGATTTTAAGAAAAGGAATTCTTCCACCAAAACAATTGAGAAGCTTGTGGGGTGAATTAATGGGCTACAAAAGTTAAATTATATATATCCTCACCCACATAAAGCCGATAAATTGCGTGGTTGAATTGTTATTGTCGGCCAATAGGTGGGGAATTAATTGGTGGGCTCAAATCTGATTTTTATACATATATAATTCCCACAGGAAGCAGGCTGCTTGGGGAGACATTGGACGGTTGGAATTAAGGAACGTGCATACAGAGGCAGACGACATCACGCAGAAAAGAGGAAAAAGACGACAGATCTATATATTAAAAGATTAATCACGTTTCGTCAATTATTGGTGATGTCATTCCACTTTTATATATTTAATTCCGTCGTTATGGTAGGCTAGACATTTTTGTGCTAGGAAAACGATGAACTTTGTTATATAAATTTTTAATCTCTAGTTTTATATTTTTGACATTAAAACACGCGTTTGGAATTTGAATGATTTATATGCACTTATTTTCTCCACAATTATTGTGCACGTAATTTGTGTGAGTTTGGTGGCTTGTTCTTGCATTCGAGATAAGTGGAATAGGTTCGACGGGGTATAAATCATTGTAGGGTCCGATAGGGGATAGAGATATACCGCTATGCCTTGCGTGAGTCTTTAAGTGTTCACAAAACCACATGCATTCTTATATATGCATTTGTCATAGAAATATAGGCAGGTGGTGTATAAGAATAGGTTCAATACACCTCGAGAGAGAGTGTTGGATAGATTTAGGAACATTGATTCTTCAACATTCAACCGTGTTGTCAAATTGTAAAACTAAGGTTAAAATGGATTATTTCACTAGGATTCGCGATCCTAGTACATTTGTCATTCATTAGATACATCAAACTTGCATTCAACACATCACATTGCATTTTAGTTCATTTAATTCACAAACATTTGCATCCATAATCTAGAGTAGGTTTAATCACATTACAAAAATCATTTTCGACATTTTGGTTTCGGTTAAGGTCGGGATAAGTAAAATTGAACTAATCAATCTCTGTGGGACGATATTCGGACTCAATTGATTCACTCTATTACTTGTTAACGAACCGTACACTTGCAGTGGTTTAAATCGAAAGAAATAATTTCGTGAACAGAACCCACAGATAATACATATACCTATATCATAAATGAATCAGATATAAAGTATTAGCACCCGTGCAACAAAGTTTGGAATGAATCGTTGCATGCATGGAGCGAGACTTTACAATAAATGGGTAGTGGATTGAAGCCTAGCTAATTTTTAAATAGTTTCTTTCTCATATTATTCTTGTTTTCTCCATTTTTTCTTCTTATTAGCACTACATTATTATTACTGTTCTTATTATCATCAAATGTTATTGTTGTTGTTTCTCTTTTCTTTGGTTTTTCTTATTATTTTCAGCTTCTTATTTTAAGCTATAATTTCAGGATTTGATTTTACAGGTTAGAGAGGTGGTTTAACTTTTGCTTTAGAGGGTCAAAAACATAATGGAAAACACTGTAAGCTATGTTGCATTTACTTGAGGGACAGTGTTACAACCGAATTCTTTTAGGCCAAAAATCAATGGTTGAATTGTCAAAGTCAAAGTCAAATAAGGACTAAAATGTAAGAAAGTATTTTATTGGGGTTATTTTATGATAAAAAAATGTTTTGAGGGTTTAAGATGGATAAAAATTTTAAGTTTGGATTTATTTTTCAAAATTTGGAAGTTAAGGATTTAATACTTTATTATATGATATTTAGTATGGCTAAATGTTATATTATATGGAAGATGAGGGACTTACCTTGCAAAACCCCACAATTTTGACCATTTAAACCCAATTGCCATTACTTTATATATATTTCTCATACCAAACCGGGCAGAGAAGCTGGAAACGGCAGAGGAGTGAAAGAAGAAAGAAAAGAAAAGAGAAAGGAAGAAAAAGAAGAAGAAAAAGGAAAAAGAGGAGGAGAAAAAGGAAGGAAAATAGGTAGTTCAAGCTTGTTTCCATTCTCCTTTCTCTATATTTTCTTCAAGAGGTAAAGGAATGATTTTATGTTAAATTTTTAGGGTTTTAACTTGTGGTATAAATTTCAGATTTAAGAGGCTAAGAGTACAAATTGGAGCTCAAGTTTGTTGATTCTTTAATCTCCAATTTCATTAAGGTAAGAATACCAATTTTTTTTGGCAAACTCTAGATTTTAAATTGGATACTTGAGTAAGGATTAATTGTGAACATGATTATGGTGATGATATATTAACTTGAAAGAATGGATCTATGGAATAGGATGTAAATTAGATTGGTGCAAGTGGGAATTCAAGTTTCACTAGATTAGAATAAAGAATTGTTTTTATGTTTGGGATGTAGGTAATTATGATAATTTAAAGATTAGTGATATGCTAGAAGGTAGAATTTGTTTCAATTGTGAAGGAAACTAAAGAATATATTCAAGTGCCGAAAAGTCAAGTTCTAATATTTCATAATTAAATGTTAGTATGGGAGTTTTTAAATTAGTTATTTTACATCGTATTTCAGGTGATGACGTGAAAGTTTTACAAGGCTGGTCAATTTGACCGGATTGTTATCCATAGATCTGTGAGTGGAGAATCTACGTTTCCAAAAAAGAATATTTTCTTTTCTATTTTATAGAAGCATATTAATTACATGAGATGCCTTATTTTTGAGAATTAGTAAATGAGCATGATTGTTTTGAAATTATCAGAAAATAATTGATGTGATTATTTTACTCCAGTGCACTGAGGGTTTACGGCCGTGTACTAGAGTCATGTATTTAACTCTTATCCACTGAGGGGCTACGGCCGTGGATAAAGGTATCCAATATACATTGAGGGGCTACAGCCGTGTGTAAGGGTAACTCTTATCCACCGAGGGGCTACGGCCATGGATAAAGGTAACTATTATGCACTGAGGGACTACAGCCATGTATAAGGATGATTATGTTGTTTCCATCTTGTACACTGAGGGGCTACGGCCGTGTACATAGTATTGATCAGACGGTTCATGTGCATATGATTTTATAGCTTTCAGATCATTAGTAGATGTTTACATGTGGTATATTTTAATGTGAATTTAAGTATATAGATTATTAGCTTTCAGCTTACATTTCCCCGTTGACAGTTTAGTTTATGGATTTCAGATTATAGGGTTCAGTTTATTCAGTTCTAAGAATAAAGCTTCTGGCTTATAATATTGAGCAACAACAATATTCCATAGATTTTCGTGAATGCTAGATTATTTATATTCATTATACTTTGCAATTACTTGTCTAGAATAAGAAATAAGAATTTTATAATGCAATCATGCTTAGTTTAAAAGTGTTGCTAGATTTAAGCATTTCCCAAACATTTAATAGAGCTAGAATTTTCAGGAAGTATGCATAAATGGAAAAGTATACTTATTTTCAATCTATCCACTCACTGAGTTATAATCCCATATTTTGTTACCCTTTTTCGTTATCAGATAGCAGCTGAGTTGAACAATATTAGAGCCTGTCGATCTATTGAATTGAGCCACACGTCATTAGTTGTATGGTCTACTTTATCAGATTAGGTAGTACCTGTTTCTTAGGTTACGTGTAGTTTATGTTAGAAAAGGCGTTATGAGATCACTATATGGTATATTTAGTACATTTGAGGATTGTTGATAGTAAAGCAAGAAAATTTCAAATTGTCTGTATTTTATTTTGACTAATTTGGATTTTGAGGCATTGGGGTACTTCTTTTATATTATATGTATTGAGTTGAGGAACTTGATTATGAATCAGGTGGTTTTAGTCCATATTTTAGAGGAGACTGTCAAAATTCTTTAAAATTTCCTCACAGTCAGACAAGTCATGGTTGCCTTGGTGGTGGGTCAAGTACTCAGCTGATATCTACCATCGACGCACGATACGTGTTGGATCCATTAAGGTCATTCGGGACGGGTCGTGTCAGCCAGTCTCGATTACCAGTTGGATTTTTTAGGATGAGTAATTTTCTTTTCTATTTCTTTTCAACGTTCTACCCTTGATCATTTGGAGATGCTGGGAATAAGTTGGTGAAGGGTATCTATTAAGCTTCCAGCAAGTTTTCTTTCATATTCTTTCATGATTAAGCAATTGTTGATTGATCTCCATTTACAAATTTTAGATATGAGACAATTTGGCTTTATTTGTTTACATTCAACGCACACGTATCTTGTCAATCCTTAACGTTCGGCATGTTAACATTACCTTAAAAATGACAATTGACGGTAGTATATTGAAAAATTAGAAGACTTTCTGATATAATGAATTCTCGTATGTTTTGTGGTTTCGGAATAAATTGGCCAATAGATCATTACTAGCTAAGGTTGAGATTGAATTCCATAACATTTTTTGAAAGTATTTTAGGATGACATGGAGGCCAAGTCACCCTTCATGTGGACCATTTAAATATTTATGGTATTAACAGATGCATTTACTAGATGATTACATGATGTCTCATCTTTATCGTTATAATAGTTTATCAATCAACTTTCTATTGAATGTACTTCAAAAAAAAACAAAAAAACAAAAAAAAAAAAAAAACAAAATTCAAAATGAGACTACGTCCTCTTTCAATGTAGTAGCAGTTCACTAACTAAAAAAATTGAAAATTTTCATATTTATAAGAAAAGTCAAGGTAAAACCGAAATGACAAGTACTAAATTTCCAAACTATCTTTAATGAAATTTTGGTCTGGGTCTCCACCCCCACACCCCATGATAGGGCTACTTACACTCCAATCCTCACGACGACTTTACCGTGAAGATTGATCCATGAACTAACTCTGCGTAGGGAACACGTGAAGAAACTTTTTGAGAAGAACACCAAAGGCAACATTTATACAGTTCAGATACTATACTGTAAAACCAAAATAAGCTCAACATGTGGAAGCTTTTGACAATCCAATATTATACAACTTATAACCTTGTACATAGATCAAATGGGGCCATAATCACAGGAATGATCGCTCACACAATTTTCACGTGTAGACCATGCAAATGTCTGCTAACAAATCAAAGAATTATATGACAACAAATCAATTAGAAAAAATATTTAAGCCAGTTGATTAACATTTGGCTAGATGGTATACAAAAATTCACTTCCAAATAATACATCTTGTGATAAAGGGTCCAAATCAGCAAACCCAGTTTTCTCAAACTTTCAATGTCGATCAAAGACGATCCCTGCGTTAATTTTGCAAAAATGGACTGGGTTTCAAAATCGAATAGGTAACCCGTGATTGAGAAAGGTTCTGATACATCCATCCCAGCCTGCAGTAACGATCACGAGACCCCACAAATGAGGAGAATGCAACGCATTCTGCCAAGCACTCTTCAAAAACTTGAATTCTGATTTACATACGGAAGGGGAAACTGGCACAGAACTTGAATCGGGCAGTTTCTCCTCTGGCCAGGTTGCAGATCCCTTAGAATCCAAGAAGAACCCACGGCTCATTGTGAAAAGGTCAGGGAAAGATGCAGGCAGTTTTTGGAGCAATTTCTCGTCGAAAATACTTCCTGGTAGTGCCCCCAGCTTGGTTTTCAAGCCAACCCAAGGTATAGCAAGGGATGTGTTGCGTGAGAAAAAACTCTCACGTGATTGTACATTCTTTGGTCGAGATGATTTCTTATCCTCGGTAGTATAGTTCCAGACACAGATGTTTGAGTCCTCGGTGGCGGAGACAATGTGTTCACCGTCTGATGTGAAAGATGCAGTTGCTTGGCTTCCCAAACTTCGATTGCCTAGGGATAGCAAAAAAATTACTTATTTTGAAAGTAACTCTCACCTCAGTGTCATTAATTATTTAATTTTCCATATTGGTCAATTTATATATAAACTTTTAAAGCTTAGCATATCACGATCTTAATAATCTAGTAAAGGGAGGGAGAAAGCAAATCATCTACCAACCAACATGCAAGCAAAGAAATCAATCGACACCTTTAAATTTGCAGATGACATCAGTCCCGCAAAGTATTTGAACTTGTGAATTGGCAGAAGTGACCATTACTTTGTTCACATCATTAGGGCAAAACTGAAAAACAACACAATTTATAAATGCACGAAGACATCAAAATATAAACAAAAATGACAAACTACGATCGAGTTCAGAATGGTTACCTGGAGTCCAGTTATCCTCTTTCCAGCCAACTTCTTCTTCCCATTTAAGCATACTTGAGCATCCAATTCCAAACAATTATCTACACCAAAGAGGTTATGCCGCATCAATGTCAACTCTATTTGGGTCAATCCGACAGGATTAGACAATTTGGGATCTTTCACATGATATTATCCAATCCAATAATGGGTATGGCAAAAGTAGAAGACAGGAAATGAAAAATCATTTACATAATTGTCACATAGTCAACATTGCACATATTAGCCCACGCTATGTACTCGAATTATATAAAGTTTCGCAAATATATAACAACCAAACATTGAATATTCTTTAATGTGAACAAATTTAAGAGGAATTATGGAACCAAAACAATAGATGAATACACCCCGAGATCACAAAACATGCATCCAATGAACGACTATTTTCAGTCATGACATATTAAACTTTAGTTTCATGCTTGCTTATCAGGTTCAACTTATAAGTACCGACACAGAGCATTCGAATAGTCCTAACTCCGTTAATATTGATATGGAAAAGAAATATGCCATTGAGACAAATAACACATACCAACAATGTTATAAAAACGACAAGTGCCATCCATTGTGCCTACAGCACCTCTCTGTAGCATAAGAAATTAGACATTTTAAGAATTATGCAAAAGGCTAAATAAACCTTAAAAGATTATACATATAAAATGTGGACTAAACCTTTCCATCCGGACGATAACACACAGCAGTCACTATATCTCTAATATCAGTCCAATCAATGACTCGACAACCTTGAACTTCCCAGATCCGTATTTTCCCATCTATGGAGCCACTTACAAAATAATTATCATCCACAGGATTGAATTCGATGCAAGTCACTGTAGGGAGTAATAAAAGAATTAACATGTGAGATAAATCTATGAAAGATTGCGAAAATCAGAATGTATATTTAAAGCGTGTTTTGAGAAGCTTAAAAAGTTACTTATAATTAAAAAAGTAACTTCTTTTCCTTAGAAGCAAGAAAAAATAACATATCTAAGCATGTTTGACAATACAAGTTTTATTTTTAGTTTTAAAGCTTAGCCAAACACGCTCTAAGTAATGCAATCAAGCCTTCAGAGGCTTACCATAGTTATTATGTGAATAAATTCCTTGGCATTGATCATTCCCCAATTTCCATAAGCGAGCTGTTCTATCAACTGAAGATGATAGCAAATGCTGCAAAAGAGAAAAATACGAGTACAATTAACTCCACAAGACATTTTTTTTTCCTATGAAATCTAAGGATTATGGCAAATTTAGGATAACCTACTATACTCGGAACCAAGAGTGTGAACGATACTAACCCCATTCTTGGACCATGATAGAGCCAATACTTCACCGCTATGCCCATGGAACTCGTGCAAAGGCTTCTCCAATAACTGAAAAACCTTAGGGGGAAGAATGGCGCAAGCCGAGTCTGATGATTTTCTCATACTTTTCATTGGGGTAGTCTTATCATTATCAACATCAAGAGGAGCTAACTTGGAAAATTGATTCAGTGAGAAGTATAAACAAGATGGATCTGTATCTTGAAGATCAAATTTGCTCGGAGAGTCATCCTCGAGCACCTTCCACACACGTACAACTCCATCTTCCCCTGCACTAGCCAGGTATTGCCCATCAGGACTGAACTTCATTGTCAAGATTGAGCCCTCGTGTGCAGAAAATTCTTGCCCTGTACAAAGCAAGGACAATTCCTTTGAACGTTTCTTACATACGTTAACTTGAACTCTTCCGGTTCTAGCCCCCGTCTTTGAACTGGTCTCATTAGGCCTGAAATGAACTCCCTTTGTCCAATCTGCATTACGAGTCAAGCCACTCAATTTCCCGATCCAACCACTGTTTACTTTCTTCTTTGTGCCAACCATGTTAATTCCCTTCGATTCTTTACCCAAAAACTGTTGAACCAAGGACGATGAGCCAAGTGTTCTTGGGAACTCTTCGAGTGAAACCATTTTATCTGAACCCACTTTCTGTAGTCTAGTGAGCATACCATCCCTATCCATTCCATCCACGACAAATTCAGTTCCATCATCCAGATTCCTTATTTTCCACACAAAATTCTCCATTGCACCGCCTTCTATGAATTCCAACGATTCATTCGATTGCAAAGAATGCGACGAACAACTCAAGGAAAGCTGTTGTTCAGATTCCAAATTTGCTAGCACAGTTTCTCCATTATCTGTTAATCTGTCATACCCAGATTTAACTTCATCACTACAAAAACCATCCTCTTCATCTCTTTCCGTAGTGTGCCAATCTAAATTCAAACCTATCCATCTCAAAAACTTACTGCGTCGTTCATCAACACTTTCAGGTTTCTCGGTCCAAACCTCATATCCTAAAGCATAATTAGCAAGCCCAGAATTCGAACAATACTCGGAGCAATCAGAACCCAAATCGGACACAGAAGTGATCTCATCACGGCTGCCAAAGAATTGATCATCCCCTGTTTCATCGTAACCACTCATCTTTGTTGAATTTTTAAGTATACAACAAACTTAAACCTACATGTAAAACAGGCACATACATCAAAAATATAATCTAACCTTAAATTTTTAGTCTTAAATACCATTTATGATTAAAAAAATTAATAATAACTTTATAGTTTTTTAATCAAAACAGAGCATAATCCTTAAATTATCAAACCCCCAAACAAATATATGGTAAAAATAAACCCAAGACCCCATATAACTTAACCTTTTACATTTCAAACCAGAAAATGAAAAAATATATATATAACACACAATAGATTAAAATCCAAAAGCATAGATCTTGCAATCGTCAACACAAATGATCAAATAACACGTTCATCAACCCAATAACACGGTCTTGAAATCAGAAAATAAACTTACTAAAATAATCACTATTATCAAACAGATTTATCGAACTGCAAGAGATAACTCAGCAAATATTAACAAATTCCTCACCTGGACTGTCAAATATATGAGATGGGACCCCAGAAAAATGCATTTTCATATGACTTTTTGTTTTTCAATTACATCAATCACTTTATGATTGTGAATGAAATTGCTAAAAAAAAGTCTTGAAACTAGAATTAGTCAATAAATAGATTACGAAATGTAAAACTGTGAATGAACAAAAAATATTCTAGGAACAAATTGAATAGTAAGATGCTTACAATTATGTGACGAGACTTCGAAGAAAAGGTAAGGTCATAAGGTGGAAAGATTGTATGGATTCTCTGTAAATTGTCTCCTTTTCACTTTGGTTTCATTTGTTAGATTTATATGACAGTTTTGACCCTTCAATTTGGTGCATCCGTTCAACTAACGGTTACGACCATGAATTGAGGTGACGAAACATTCGTACCTTTTAATCCCATTGTGAAAAAAAGTTCTTATCTTTCATTTTTTAGTATTTCACCTCTATTCTCACATTTTATTGCACAGAAAGTCCTTTTTCACCGTTTTTGATGATTTTACCATCTTATTCAAATAAAATCTAATGAAATAAAAAAAATAAAGAACTAATTGTAATCATAATCCCAAATTTTCAAAAAATTACAGATCAGTCGTTATATTCTTATCTTAACCTCCTTTTTTTATCCACACCCAGACTTTAACATTTTAAGTGAGACTTTCACATATAAATATATATTCAAAACCCTAAATTTGTAAAACTTGACTTCCAATTTATAAGTCTTTTTAGTCATCGACAAGTTTGACCCACCCTACCACAAGAAAGGGGGAAAAGTGAAGAAAAATTCATAGTCTAGCTCCATCATCGCCCCATTTCACATCTATATCTTTTCTACTTTACACGATTGTATACAAATACACTTTTATATAACTGAAATTTGGTTTTTATATTGGCAGCGAAAGGAAGTAAATTATAAAGAATAGAAGCTATGGAAAAGTGTTTGCAAAATGGGGTCCCAATTTTCTCTCTCTATTTCTTCTTCCTTGGCATGTTTTTCACCAAGTATGATTGGTTCAGAATTCTATTTTTTTTTAATCTAATTTTTTGGGGGGTTTTGAACAAGATCTACAGATCGGTGTTTGAGGATTGCACTACCAAAAGGAAGGTTTTTTTTTTTTTTTTTAATAATTAAAAAAAGCTATAAATTGGAAGTCAAGTTTTATAGATTTAGGGTTTTGAATATGCAACTACGTGTGAAAATTTCACTAAAAATATTAAAGATTCAAAATTTGAAAGTATGTTTGTTTTTGGGTGTGGACAGAAAGCTGGAGGTCAAGATAATAATATTATGATTGATTTGTAATTTTTTGAAAATTTGAGACTATGATTGCAATTAGTTCTTAATTTATTTATTTATTTTTTTGTTTATTTGAGTAGGGGGTAAAATCATCAAAAATAGATGAAAATGACCTTCTGTGCAATGAAATGTGGAAATAAAGATAAAAATGTCAAAAAATGAAAAGTAAGGACGTTTTTCACAATGACGTTGAAATGTGGAAATGTTTTGTGTTATTTACCCAAATATACAATGGGCTTCCATTTTTTTATTTTAAGCCCTCTTGGTAGAAATTGAAATTTAATTTTATCAAATTTTAATAAAAGTCGATGGGATGTGTAATTGAAAAGTTATGGATCCTATAATATATGTGATTAAAATTAATTATTAACTTTGATTTAAATTTTAATTAAAAAAAATTAGTGGTACCAAACATGAGCTAAATCTTATGTACAATAAAAAATAAATAAAATGAAATTAATGATTTTCTTTATCTAATTTTGTTACCCAAATTCCCGAAATAAAAAAATTCTTTTCGTAAACAAAGCATAAAAGAGTGGTAAATGTTAATCCTATAATGATTAAAATTTTAACCATCTAATGCTAATATGCATTATATATTATCGGAGAAAAATAGTTTAAAATCTTATGTTAATTTGGCTGATTTCGTGTACCAAAAAAAATATGTCTCAGGATATTACGCAGTATTAACGACTTATTATATATTTACTTGTCCTTCAATCCATGTCTAATGTTGGGGGAAAAAGAGAGGTGAAAATGGTAAGAAAATAAAAAATGTATAGACTTTTGCAAATGTGAGGCACGAAAAGTTCGAATTAAAAGGTACTTGGCGTGCATATGAGGCTACATACCCCAAAAATAATATAAAATAAAATTCTATCATAACGAATTAGAGGCAATTGAAATTCAAGATTATTTTGCCTAATTATTTTACCATTTATTGATGGAATAGTATACATAAAATTATTAACTTGGTCGTACCAATATTATATCAATTGACCTGAAAAAAAAATTAAAATAAAAAACAATGTAGTATTCGATGAAGTCCAAATCAGTTGATCAAAACTCAATCATCGATATACCTTAGAATCATTGAAATTTTGACTTCAATCAGTTTTCAATTTTTTATTGAATCAACTAGTATTATTTTCAAATTTTGGAGTAATCATAAAAGTAATGAATTAGTTATCTTGTGTTTACACCACTAATTGCATCAGCATTTTCAAGGAAGAATTGCTATAAATGCTTTATTTAAAAAGTATTTCTTATTTAAGTCATAATCATGATAACAACAACGTGTATAAAAGTTTACAAGTTGGAGAAAACATATATCCTATGAACTATAATATCCTCACTAATATTTTAGATTTTTCGATTTACCTTTGAATTAATTTTAGGCCATTCAAATTTATTATATTTTAATATATTCGAGGGTATTAATCTCTATTCATTCGATTCTCACCAACCTCATCTTTCCGTTGAATTATACGCACATAATTCTAAAGTCTTGATGAAGATGTTTAGGGTTTCGCCGTGTGGGGCTTGATTTGGAGGGGTGGGAAGGCGCCCTAGTCAACAAAGACTTTGACTAAGTCAACCATTGACCACCCATCACGACCGTTTACCTTCCTGTTAATTTCATTTTTGTCATCGCCTTTACCTCAATTAATTTTCCATAATCTTTCACAATGAGGCTACTATTCGACTTAGGTGATTCATCAGATGAGTTGGATTATTTCATTAATTTCAATTGACTCTAAAGTATCTTCTCTCAATAATAATATTTTATATTAAATATATATATATTATTGGTTTATTAAATGATTTACATGAAATAAGGGATATGTGATTCTATTTTTCTTGACAAGGCAAAAACTGTTTTCATATAGAAAATGACATTTATAGCATCAACTCCATCAGAACAAAAAGGGATTACTTTCTTTCTGCAACTTTCACAAAGTAAGAAAAAACATTCGAATTTATAAGTTCAACTTGTACAGAGTGATGTATAGTTCGGTTCCCTGTTCCAACGTAGCAGTATTGCAAACACACCAAAATGCTGCAAATATTAATGCCAATAACAGTGGTAAGCCTGGACTGAATGGATCTCAGCTCATTGATCGGCATTAATGCCAAAGATGCGAACCTTGTGCATATGTGGGAACTTGGCAACTACCAGAATGAAAACAGCTAGCGTGTTGAAGAAGAGCATAGGATGTTGATAATCCGTTGTGTGAGAGGCTATTAAGTACCTGCAGAGGAAACGAGGATAAGCACAAACTTGTTCCAGTCAAAAGAAGATATCTTCGACCCAAAAATTACTTGTCGTGAGAGGATGATAGGAAGCACAAAAGAAAAGTATATTCCTCTTTAATTAATCAGAGAAGGGATTCTACCACGATGAAACAAAAAAGGTATAATAATAGGAGAATTTTCAATGGATTGTTGTTGGTCTTAAAATATATCTTCAAACTAGTAAATTCCAGTGGTATAGTCGTGATCAATGTGTCTAAGGTAATCATAAAATAAAAGTACATAGTATCAAAGCTTCAAATAAGTTGATATCCTTTCAGACTTCAACCTACGGAACTATGACGCCTGGTGAATATAAAATCAAAGGCAACAAATGTAATTTTATAAAAGAATTTCTAGATTGCAAAGGCCAAACTTGCAATTGTCAACCCAACCACAGCATGTCTAGTAATATCTATTATCTAGCATAATTATCATGAGAAATAGTCGGAGTCAGATATTACATATAATCTATATAGATCAAGAAGTTCCAGGCATTGACCATTCTAAATCATTATCATCTCCAAAACTACAAAGACAATGCTGCAATACAATATTTGAAAGAAAAATACTCTAAACAAAAGGAACATCAAGCTAAAATAAAATTTAAAACCATTTAAACAGCACATATATAACCCCAAGTGTGTAATATCAGTATACATTGAATTATCAAATTGCCAAATAATGAACAGCTCTTCAACCAAAGTTCCCAGCGAAAGGAAAAAAATGGTGAAGCTAAATAAACATCTTTTTGCCGATCAAACTATATCTAAAGCCCATAAGGTAGGCAAGGAATGGCATCCAGGAAGGTAGTTTGATTGCAACAGATTACAGAAAAGATTTGAGTGTTCAGTACGTTTCGTTGAGCTTAGAAAATGGAGAATGATGTCTTAAATCTCAGTGGGGATAGAAGCAAGGAATTTTAAACTCGGTTTCACCCAGGTATAACAGTTCCTATCTCCATAATTCAACAAATAGCTCACAAAACCTCAGAGCTAAATCTTTTCTAATCAACCGCAACATACATTTGCCCTTTTTTCACCATGTGTTCTGCAATTTATCAAATGGCTTCTACTTCAAGACCAAACTTGACAACAGTGCACAACCAGACAAGTACATTTGAACCTTTTTTCATGGATTATATGAAGGCTACAAATAGTCAGTTTCCATTATCTCCTAATTGGAGAAGCTTATGATGATATGGTTGTTGACTGCTGCACCACCAATGGTGGTGGTGCTGCAATCTTAGTCAATATGTCCTTTTTCATTTTGCAGTGGCACAAGACAAACAATTGAAACACTTTCATTTCACAGCTTAACTCTTCTATATAACTAAAATCCGAAATAACAATCTTAGATTGACTCAATTATGAGTGCAATGTTATTGATTAATTATTACAATTTACCATAGTGACAATGAACATATCTTGCTTACAATACACAGGGTGTCACCAGTCGTGAATTTTATTTATATTATTATAAAATGATATTGAAAGGGAAAAGGATTGTTCTATACTCCTTACCGAAAGCACTAAGCAAGCAAGCTACCTTGAATTTCATATAGCATTAACAGAGTGGTGAATTAGGAGCCAGAACAGTCTTTTGCTTTATTATGGGAAAATCACATTCACGTAGTTGAATGGAAAAAGGAAACCTTGTGGCTTATTCAATGCACGTTATGTATTCTTCTATTGTGCTTGCAGTGCCTTTCGAGTTGAGCTTAGAAGAAGCTTATCCAATTATGTATTTTTTCTGCTTTACCTCGTGGAAGTTCACATACACTAACAATTGCAATACCTACTGAAAAATTCACTTATAAGGCCAACTATTTTGAATGGACAGAGGCTTATATATTAAAGCGTAAGAAACATTAAAGCATGGGCATATTGCTTGTTGTCTAAATATTTCTCTATGGGCTAATGCAATCTTCGAGGTCAATGGAGCACTAAATCCAAAATCATGGAGGATTTGACACCTTACAAGATAAGGCCTGCTGCAACACTCTTTAACAATGTGCGAAGTTCAATATAATTTACTACCATGTTTTAAAATTAATACCTCTAAATAAGACAAAAATCACTTTGATAACTAATGAAGAACAAACATACAATCAAGATTGAGAGAAAACTTACAGCACCACAGGTACGACTGTCAAAAACTTCCTATTACGAGTCAGCTGCTTGCCATTTTCTATTTGCTCCCACCAAGTCAACCTATTGTAGATACCCTGATCTTCTGAAAATGGTGTTCCCTTCTTCCAGTGAAAGAAGTGATAAGTAACCTAGACCACAGATGAGAAAATTCACCACATTTTCATACAAAATACAAGCTCTATCCTAGCAGTTACAAAGACCTAGATAAAGTAAACTGTCCGTAAAAGTTTGTCTATAATGAAATCAATAAAGGAACTACTTGGGACACATAAGCAGTGTTCACATCATTATATGATGAGGTCATGCTGATAAGGTTGTTTGTATGCGCTCATGGAGACTCAATTGAGTGAAACCTGTGGTTCTGTGTTGTTGCATAATTCCACTAGCATCCATGACAACAGAAAGATTCCATTATTAACTCAAATATAAGCTATATCTTAATTTAACAAAAAATATAGGCCAGAATGATTGCGCACATAATTGTACATATTCAACACCGCAAACATTTTTTTTTTATCTAAATGTTTAATCAAATCATAGATTCCACAAGAACCAAAATTATTGCTTAAATAATTTATTTTGCTTCTTAATCATTGGCTGGTATACCATTCTCCTTGGACGATACATACCTAACCCCCACCCCCCTAATTAAACATGAAAAACAATATTTTGAAGTACCATTGAAAACGTAATACAAATGATATATAGATACTTTAGCAAATTATAATTCCACAAGAACAACGATGATTGCCTCAATGGTTTTCTAAGTAATTCCAAGCTGGTAAATCATTCTCATCCTGGGACCTTATCCCCACTAAACATCAAAAACAATATTTTGCAGTTAATATCGATAGAAAAGTGTAATATAAATGTTCAATCAAATTATAGATTCTACAAATACCAAATTATAATATAACAGGTTAATTTTTTAACTTAATTCTCAGTTGGTAAATCATTCTCCTTAGAAGATACCCACATATAACGTCAAAAATACTAAAATCTGATCATAGAACCTATTTATCGTTACTCAGTAACACAAAAAAAACCTTCCAGCACGCACAAAATTAATTAAACCAAACCCTAACAACAAAGAAATAAAAACAAAATCCCCGCTCCTTTAACATCACAGATAAACATAATCACTAAATCGAAATTTATATATGTACATAATTTAGAACGTACGAGGAAATGGGAGAGATGAACAATTGTCCACGCCATGCCAGGGGAACAACCGAAAACAGAGAGCACAATCAACCACGAGAAGAACAATATTAGGATGTAGGTGGTCCACACACCGGGGTACGTGAACCACTCCGTGTTCCGATTCAGATCCGTCGGCGGCACCGCCTGAACATACAATTTTGCCATCTCAAATCACGTTCCTCTAAAACTTTTAAATCCAATTACTAATTTCACGCTCCTTCCTTATCACCTTCCAAAATTGTTTTTGTATAATAACTAATATTTTGGATTAATCTATAATTAATTGTTGTTGGAATTTAGTTGGAGGCAGAAAAAAGGACAATGATATTTGGGTGTATATTTGCCTCCCTGTTCCTCTCTCTCTCTACAGATATTTTTTGGGTTATATTAGCGTCATGGTACCCAGTTTGATTTTATTTTTAATATGATCACTCAACTTTATATTTAGTATTATCTTGGCCACTTAATTTAATTTTATTTCATCATGATCACCCAATTGCATATAATATTTCAACATGGCCAATCAACTTCTTTTTATCATTTTAACTAATTTTAAAAGGGGAAAAATAAAAACCTTACATTTTATATATAAAATAAATTAAAAGACAAAATAGAGATTTTTTTAATTTTAAAATCGTTTTTCTTTAAATAAGTTTTTTTAAAATATTTTTTATTTTTAAAATTTATTTTATTATATGTAATGCAAAGTTACCATCTTACCCATTTTTAAAATTAGTGAAAAGAAGTTAGGTGACCATGGTAAAACGTGGTCACATTCATCGTTATTATATTGGAAAGGTTCTAAAATGCTAAACTATCATAATATGGGATTTAATTTATGATTACATTACTATAATCTTATGGGACCCAACGTTTGTTTAAGTACTTCCTAATAATCATTATATATGGTTGCAAATAATTCCATGTTAGTGGGTAAATGCATACAAAAAGACGTTTAAGATTGTCCAATTGAATTAAATAATAATTAAGATATTGGGTAAAATATTCTTTTCATTTCTAGTTTAACTCATTATTAAATTTGTAATGATAATTCCAATGTTTTCTACCGTCATAACACAAGATCAAGTCGATTCACTTTCAAATTCTTAATATTTAGATCGATCCAAAAAATTTATTACTATAAGCATGAACCATCAATCAATTATATTGACATCTTACCGTCCATGCTATCTCGATAAAGAAATATAATCAACTATAAAGATAATTATTAAATTAAATTTTGGATAATCCAAAAGGGTATTAAAAAATTCTGTTAAATCCCCACTTTTGATAAGATACATGCACTAGCAAGATAAAATTAAAGTATCCTAAATGATGGAGTGTGTATGGACCGACAATGTGTCCCATAAAATATGTGTTCATAGCAATTCCGACCATTTTTTTTCGAGTTCAAAATCCCTTAAATAATTTCGTGCATACTTGTTCGGCTCAACTGCACATAAAGAGGTTTCGAACATATGGGTCCGAATTAACTCGGGACTTGGCTTATCACATTCCTCTGCATATGAACTTTCTTGACCTTAAAACGTATTCAAATTTCATTTAATATTTATTTTGTCTTGTGAAAAATCATATACTATAGTGCCAAGTTTGAAACGATGAGCCCCTCTTAATGATGTATCCATTTCATCTCGATTGCAAAGAGAGGTTAACTAACTATCCGGGTCGACCTCAAATCCTAGGGACCATGTCCGAGGCCACTTGTGCTCGTGGTCCGCACCGCTGCATTTTTCTTTGTTCGAGCATTCAGAAGAATAGATGTGAGACGGGGGTCATCATCCATCAATAGTTATCGCATTCTTGGACGAAAATGGTATGAAAATCATTCGAAATGGCCAAAGCATATGAGTATGACGCACCTGCCCATTCCAATGCAGTAGGACCCACAATCCTCTCCCAAGGCCAAAAAATGACAGTTGGTATATCAACTTGGTGGTGAAAGTGGAAGCCAGCCAGCCAGTCAGCCGATTTGGTTAAGGCTCAATCATTCAAAAATCGCCCATATTTAGGTCACCGACCAATCACGGGCCTCCCGAATCCTTCACGAAAACAAGCGCAATAGATTCCATGCTCACTGACACGCAGCACTCGTATGATAAGAGAGAGATTATAAGAGATATAATTTTATATTCCAGAGTTTTCAACTCAATTCCGGCTCGGCTCAACTCGACTCCAACTTATGTTTTCCTTTAATCAATAACTACAAGTTCGGTTATATCCCACAATATGTTACTTATTACTTAGGGTTTGTTTGATTGTAAGAATGAAATTTGGGTGGAATGAAAACGGAATTTAAGGAATTGAATTTTTTAGAACTTGTTTTACTAAAAATTGTCGATTAAATGTATTTGATTAATATAATTTTTCACTTGAAAAATGATGAAATTCTTGATTTTTTTTTTTTTTTATGTTTGTTTGGTTTTATTTTTCATGAAAATTGTCAATTAAAGTGATAGAATTTGTTACAATTATAGATAAAATTTGTTTCCATTGCCAAAATTTTTTTATTTTAAAAAATGAAGAAGAAGAAGTTGGAAAACAATTTCCTTAAAAACCAAGAATTTGGGTCACATGGCGTAGAGTGGAAAACGAATTCCATGAAAAATTTTACCTATCAAACAACATATTTGGATGGAAAATCCATGGAATTGGTTTGTATCAAACACGCCCTTAGTGTCAAATATACGTTGGGCTTCATCACAATTGCCAACATACTAAGTCCATGTTTGGTTCAACAACAAATATGAATTAAAATATAAATTAAAGTTAATAATGAATTTAAACTAGATATTTCATAGGAATCACAATTTTTCAATCACATATTCCATTAATTTTTATCAAATTCTACTAAAAATTAATTTTTATCTAAACCAACACGGTATTAATTTTGGAGAATGAAAAATACTTTAACACAATTTAGTTGAAATAATGTTAAGAATTTTATTCATTCAACCATACATTTCATATACAATGGGAATGTGTATATATACAACTAAAAGGAATCTTTCCTAACAGATTTACACACAGAGAGAGAGAGAGAGAGGTTGTCAACAAATCTAACTTTCCTAACCAATTTCTTTCTAGATTATTCTGCCATTGCTCTGTCATCAATTCCATATGATTATTTTTCCAGCTGCACAGCAAGTCCACGTGGTTTCCTTCTTGCCAATATTTCAGCTGAGCCATCTTCGACCCTGCTTCCTTCCAAAGTTCCAGCTGAGCTATCTTCTAACTTTAATAGCCTCCCGCAAGATGGAGAGTATATATCCATTATTCCCATCTTGGACATGCAAAAGTAAAAACTTTGAGAACTCAAAGCTTTAGTCAAGATGTCTGCAATTTGTAGTGCGCTAGTAACGTGTTGGGTAACAATGCTGCCATCTTGTACCTTGTCTCGAATAAGATGGCAATCTAGTTCTATGTGTTTGGTTCTTTCATGGAACACCGGGTTTGTTGCAATGTGGATTGCAGCCTTGTTGTCACAATTTAAGACTGCTGCCTGAGGATGATCAACTTGTAAATCCTTGAGCAAGTATCTGAGCCAGGCAAATTCACAGCAAAGATTTGCCATTGCCCTATATTCCGCTTCTGCTGAAGATCGAGATATGACATGTTGTTTCTTTGACTTCCACGATATTAATGCTGTCCCAATGAATACACAATAACCCGTTGTAGATCTTCTGGTGTCCGGACAAGCTCCCCAGTCCGAATCACAGTATCCTTCCAATTGCAGCTTTGAACTTGCGGGATAAAACAATCCTTGTCCAGGTGCTCTCTTGATATACCTGAGGACTTTATGAGCAGCATTTAAATGTGGAGTTCTTGGACTGTCCATGTATTGGCTCAACAATTGGATCGAATATGCAAGGTCAGGCCTGGTAATTGTTAAATAGAGTAATCTCCCTATTAACCTTCTGTAGAGTGAAGGATCTGGAAGTAATTCTCCCTCATCCCTGCTGAGTCTCAAGTTCTGGTCAAGGGGGATTCTTGCAGGAGCTGAACCAAAAGAACCTGAGTCTGCCAAGATGTCTAGAGCATATTTTCTTTGACATATATATATCCCTTGTTTGGTTCTTGCCACTTCAATACCTAGAAAGAATTTCAAATTCCCAAGATCCTTAATTCTGAACTTATTGTTGAGACAAACTTTGAGATTGTTAATGGTGTTGATGCAACTTCCTGCCATAATTATATCATCCACATAAATTAGAATGATTGTGATGGAATTGCCAGTGATTTTAGTGAATAAGCTATAGTCTGCTTTGGACTGAACGAACCCCTGTCCAATAATGAAATTTGAAAGCTTGGAATACCATTGTCGTGAGGCCTGTTTCAATCCATATAGGCTCTTCCGTAGCTTGCAAACTTTGTTCCCATAGCCATCTGAATATCCAAGAGGTAGTTCCATGTAAACATCTTCATCCAAATCTCCATGCAAAAATGCGTTATTTACATCAAATTGGCACAGATTCCATCCCTTGATTGATGCTACTGCCAACAAGGTTCTGATGGTAACTACCTTGGCAACGGGGGAAAACGTTTCATGATAGTCAATCCCTTCTTGTTGCGTGAATCCTTTCGCCACTAGACGCGCTTTGAATCTTTCAATGCTCCCATTGGAATTGAATTTGATTTTATACACCCACTTGCATCCTATGGCTTCCTTTCCTGGTGGTAAATCGACCAAAACCCAAGTATTATTAAGTTCTAAAGCCTCAATCTCAGCTTCCATTGCAGCACACCATTCAGGTGAGGTCATGGCTTCCTGATAATTTCTGGGCTCTGAATGACTGGTAATTAAGGTCACAAAAGCACGATGAGGTGTAGATAATTTATCATAGGAAATTCTGTCACTAATGGGAAAGATAGTACCTGCTGTATTTATTTCCTTTGGCTTGGTCAATTGTTGGGATGTATGAGGTGAGGAGACCTGCTGACATATGAAGTTCTGTAGATAAGCAGGAGTCTTTCGAATTCTTCCAGACTTACGAGGTAAATGTGTTGTGACAAGATGTTCTGGTTCCAAAGTATCAATAGGGTGTTGTGCTCCATCATGACTGACATCTGTATTGGAGTTAGGAGTTTGTGTGTGAGCTGGAGTATCTAGAATATCAGGAAGGGAAGATCTTATTTGATTGGTATTAGTATGATCGACATGGTTATCGTTATAGAGCTCGGTGATGACAGGATCATTGGAGATATTGAGGTTTTGTGTGAAGCTGAGGTGAGGGAGATTAGACAGTTGTCTGTTGCTGTTGGGGTTAAAGTTCTTGTAAGGAAAAACATCTTCATGGAATATTACATTCCTTGAGATGAAAATTTTATCTGATTCTAGGTCCAACAATCTATAACCTTTCACACCAA